CGAAATGTGAAATACAAGAACCAGTCAATGAGGGGAGGAGATGCTTTCAGACTTGTGCCATTTACTGGTCAAACTGTCTTATTATCATTCACTTTTGTTAAATGTCTGTCAGCCCTTTCCTTTTACAACTGTTTTCATTTCCTCTCTTTCCCAAGTGAACATGTACAGAAGCAACCATACTAAACTCATCCTTACGCCAATATGCAAACATCAACCAAGACTGAACTAATTAATCCCACAATCTTTCCTTCCAATTCTCCCCCATTCAGGGTGAAAGAACCTCAAACTCCACTCGCTGTGTATACATTGTCTTCACCCATTGGTAGTTCCAATACGCAATGGTAGAAGCCACATCCGTAACTTCTGATACCTAGAAACCCCAGCCTTGTGATATGGTCTGTCTCATGGATACACCGAAGGGATTAATCATCCAGTCTTCTTCACCACCTGAATCACTAAGGTTCAGTTAACTAGTTCGCTTGATCAAGACAACCCACAGCCCACTTGTCCATACACATACAATGAAGGAAGAGAAGGTAGCTTGACAGAGCAAATCCCACCACGCCATGTCCAACGTTCATCTAAGAAAAACATGAGTTATATCCATATTGTGGTGAGATCACCAGCTGTACATCTCTATTCCATTATGTTGCTTGCCGCGTTCATCCCCGTATGAAGTCAACACCTAATAAATGCATATGATCAGACCGAGGAAGAAACGAAACCAAGTTGCCTGGAGTAGTGGGCCCTCCTCTTCATGCCAACACCGTTGTCTAACACGCATCTTCCATATCCGGTTAACACGCGCGAGCATGCGCGCTAGCATGTCTGAGCTGAAAAAGAAGATATTGCAAATCGACAAGGCAGAGGCCAGGCCTTGGAATGTCCCGCCCAGTAGGCGACGATCTCAAGCTTTGGACAATTTGTTCCAGCTGCTGACAAGCTTGAACCCTAAGTTTAAGCTCGTCCCGTGTTGTCTCTCGTGTATGCTGTCTTGTTGAGCATGTAGGTTTTCCGTCTGCACAAAGTCCAGACTTGCCTTTTGTGCATCCTGGGTTTTCTTGGAAGAGATGAGATATTGAGGTGGGTTCGTTTCATCCAGTTCCTAGACATTTGGGTTTCGTAGCTGCGCCCTGCGACGGATGGTGATACTCCCGTCCAGCTGTGGAGAAGTGAAGAGACGTCCAAAGCTAAGATGTTGGCAAGGCCAGCCCGTCATGCTGTTTGGAGAATGGACTCTGAGATTGAGTTGACAATGATCGCAGATTGGTCTCTGTGTCAAACACAGGAAGATGCCCTCTCTTCCATCAGAGAAGAAAAACCCAGTCCATCGTGCTGCTGGAGCAGTGAGATCTTGTTGGCACTGCTGCTGCCAACAAATGCAGGTGTCTCGCATCTAGTGCTGATGGTATGCAGCAGCAAGACGAGTACCTCTTCCATGAAGATGAACTAATCTCGGATGATTCTCCATAAACACCAAGACCATGGGCTCTGTTTCGAAGGAACCACCCGTGTGTTCGGGATTCGGGACGAGACGTCAATCCAGGGTAGAAGCAAGAACACCGATGAAATTGTACGTGTTCGGAAGTCTCTCCATCTCTACTTTCTTCGACTGCAGCCCTAACCTCAAACCCTGGATCTTTGCAGATATGCCAGCAGGTGATGAGAAGATGCCATGATCGTATAGACGAATGGCTGACGCATAGCAATAGGAGTAAAGGCGAGGTTACCTATCAGGTGAAGAGCAACGCAATGTGTCATCATTTCGGAAAGCATTCCTCGCCTTGATCCACTCCTTTGCATCATGTATCTCAGACCTGGCTGGGATTTGCGTTTCCACTAGCTCTGCATCGATCACGCAGACACGTCGTATGATACCATCAGAGAGGACCCACGTTAGCCGATCGACGATTGCCTTTCCATCTTCGAGCAAGTAGAAAGAGATATAGCGAGAACCACATACGTGTCTGTAGTTCCTGGTTCCACTTTTGGGGCGGGATCTTGTTCCCGTTCATTGAGGAGGTGGGGCTTCGTTGTCTTCTGTCCTGATTCGAGGCTTATCCAGACGAGGAGCAATATGCCGGGAGATACAGTGCCTGGCACGCGGCGATGAGGTGTGATCCATCAGCAGAGCAAAGAGCGACGCTTCGGTGGCAAGAAGGTATGATTCAAAGATGGGAAAAGAGCAAGAATATGGCCTGGAATTCTGCACAGCATGGGACATGACTTGCTCCGTCTTGGTTCTCTTCACTGGGAATTTCGTGTCTTTGATATAACCCCTGAGTTGTTGGGTTGACCTCGACGAAAGACATGGTAGAATATGCAATTGGTCAATCTGCGTGGTGAGGATAGTGCTGCCAACCTACTATTGTATAAATGGTACAGAAAGACGTCGCATATACGGCAGCGATAAGACCCATGAAAAGTATGCTGTGATCGATGTAGTCGATGGATTCAGAAACCCGTTGTGCTAAGCTCGCATTTGACCGATGATGAGTCGAAGTCGATGGTTTCGCGAGTGGTTTCGTGTTGGTTTTAGAAAGTTAGGAGGAAAAATACAATGAACGAGATATTTGGATTCGTAACATAATATATGGCTTCAATATGGTTTCAAGTCTCGCAGTCACAGTCATGCTTCTCCACAGCAATTTATCTGCTGTACTAGGTTGCAGCGTCTGGGAGGACACACCTAAGCAGTAGTAATGATGATTATTAAAGTAGGTTTATCTTGCGAATTGCCTGAAATCGGCTAATGTCCTGCGGCAATAAGTGAGAGGAGTGGTAGATCACATGTGAACAATGATGAAGCCTTTGAACATCATACTTCCTTCCGAAGAGAGATGGACCCATACCGATTCGTTGGGGTAGCGCAATTGTCTTGATGTTCCTTCTCTTGCAGCATGTTCAGCGCAGTTGATAATCTAGGGTATTCTGTTCTTAAACGGCTCTTCGTATCTCTCTGGATTATAGCTTCCCTTTACAATCAGGCGTAGTGAGATGGGATAGACGATGTGACAAGACATGTCTGCGGAACGGGTCTGAGACTGTCACATGCAACAAGATATTGCAGTCTCATTGATCGCCTCTGTCACTTCATGTGGTGGTGCCGCTGGATTCGCAAGGCCCAGACAACCCTATGGGTGGCATTGGTATGGCATTGGTCTCAACAGCGAACATTCAGCGCTATATAGACACTCTGGAGTGTTGCGCAGTGCTTCGCCTATTGAGCAATGGTATCATCAACCGAGCGGGGTTGTTGGACGTACAACAGTTACATGACTCTGGCCATGTGCATTCTCTTCGCATCCAGTATCCCCCGCTTCTGCCTCTTCTGAAACAGAATCGTCTCACCAAGCGCAGAACAATAGAACTGATGGCTGGTCGCTGAATAAGGCAGCAGTGCCACCACCCCATGCGTCTTTTTCCACTTTTGTCGTTCACCCGTCTTGTAGGGATATTCAAGCTCTTAAATATCTTCCAGCGAATGCTTTGTAGGGTTGCTCGCTTGATGGTATAAGTGCAGTGGACGGTAAGACAACACGGGGCCTAGTCTAGCGCATCATACCGCTCGACCCTAGAGCGGCGGTTTCAAGACGTCGCTAGGTGGTGTTCCATTGAGGGGACATATTCGTATGTACTGATCTTATCATCCTTCTCCGACGAAAGGAGCAACATATATTCGTAGACATAGGTTAGGGACTCGTCGACACCTGTATATGATGACCCTCGTACTCGTATGTATTGATTAACTTTCTAGGGTGAGGGGGGTTTTCGTTTAGGGTGGACTTGAAAGAAACTCTGGCGTAGTTCAGGTCACATCAGCTTCGTTGTCATCTTCAGAGGACGGTCTGGGACTATATGGGTCAGAACAGATGAGCACTGTTCTCGACGCAGCCAAGAAATGCAACAATATTTGACAAGTCATAGTTCCTTTGTGTAGATCGCAGCTATAGCTCTTACTTCAGAACAAGGGAGGGACATGGTCCTTGCCATGTTCCAGTGTCATGTCATTAGAGTCCCTTCATCTAGAGCTTTTGTTCTTTGGAGGAGGATAAGTTTGATCAAGGTCGGTGGACTCTAACACCAAGCAAGGTGGATCCGTTTGTGTCCATTGTCTTCAGCATGAACCCGACAACAAAGAGAAAGCATAAGGGTGATCATCCACCATTGAGAAGTAAAGTTAGGCTCATAGCCCAGGCTCTATATCGAGAGAGTACTCTGATCTTCGTTGTGTGGATGAGTTGGAGAGAAGAAAAACACGAGGGGAGGGTGAGGATTTATATAGGTTTCTGATTGCCCAATTCGGCAATGGAAGTTGTATCTCAGTGGCAGGGATGTATCACGAAGGTCGACCCATCTGTAGTTACAGATCTTGGCCACATGGCCATCTGGAAGTCGCGCAGTCGGTTGAGGGACGTGGAGACTAATTGCCTGAGTAAGGTTATGGAAACTTGAGCCATTGTCGAGTCCCTCCGCAAAGCCGGAGTAGTAGACTTAGGGGGACCAACATGCCGCCCATGGCATACGGGGGTGTCAGCGCGGTCTGTATGGCGCTCCGAGAGCCCATATAACCAAAAGTATATGAGCACAGCGTATGCTCCGGTTCTGGTACGGGGTGGAATCGCTACAGCGGCCAGTTTTACTGCTTTGGGTCTGTAGGGAAATCCGTCACGTCGCATTGCCAGCGAGTAATAATGCCCTGGTCGCCCAATATTTTTTGCGCGGTGTTATCCCGACGGGATATGTGGTCGTTGTATCGGACTTGCTCATACGAGGATCATGGCGGATTGCTTGATGTACTTAATATTGTCGTGGTGGATGACCACGCTGCTGGTGATGCGTATTTCTGGCGTGTGCAGCCATATGTACCACTCCGAAGGCTAGTGATATCCGTCTTCCCTTAAATTGACCGGCGCGTGAGCGATGTGACATGATAATGAGACAACTTTCTTCGCAGTCAAGATGATGAAGGCATCCAAGTGTCACGTTTGCCGAACTTTTCAAGATCCATCCGCATATTGCCCCCCATAAGTGACGCTTCTCAATACACTGAGGCGCAGAACCAGGGCCGCTATGGACGCATGGTCAGGGTAGTGAGGCAGAGATGAGAAACTGGTCTCGTGGACTTGCCTGGGTGCGAGGATGCGGTCAAGGCTTCGGAAGTGATGCGGGGGAAAGGCTTGGAAGACCGGACGAACGAGACCAAGTTTGCTGTGGTGGCATTTCCGACGCATGGTGATGTGGCCTTGGTTGACGCGGATGAGAACTATGAATCGATGCTCTAGGCACTGCGAGATGCAGTCAAATATGCAAACAGTGGTCGTTCTTTGAAGCATCTGGGAGTGCCGTGTATCACTGCTCCAGTGGGGAAGCTTAGCGAGGCGAAGATGCAGGTCGCACTGTCCTTCTGCGGCAGGGGTGCCAGGATTCAGATCTTTTGTGATACGCCGTTGTGTATGAACTGTGTCGAAGCGTTGAGAGAGTCCACCTTTAGCCTCAGAGGAGATCGTGAGAACCAGTAAACCGTTTTCCTTGTCAATCAAGCCTGTTTTGGGAATTCGCTCAACGGAGTCAATCCAGGAGGACGACCCAGACGTAGACATCTGTGTGATAACAGTGACATGAGCCTGCTGTGTGAAAGTCTCTGGGGCAATATGCACACTGACTGTCTCCACAAGTGGTGATCCATCACCCCAGTATCTTGGGAAGGGGACAACGGGACCTGGACGACCCGTCTCACCCGGGCCAAGAGTGAAGCCCGATATTTGCCGCTGGGAAAGCCCCGAGGCATTAACCAGTATTGTGGAGACTGCAAGCACCGGGCACATGGGCTCCGCTTTGGATCACTAGGAAAGCCCACGTCTGTGCAAGGTTCCGAGCCGGAAGTACTTGAGAAAGTGGATCATCTGATCTTGCATACTGAGGTCGGTACAACAGTACATGGATGAAAATTTCTGCGGCTTGGCATTCATGCATGGGTCGCTTGGGTATTTTCTTAGGACGATGAATAAACTGAAACAAACGATGAACAAGACGGGAAGGATTGACAGACAAATTGAGGAAAAGAAAATCACAAGTCTACAAGCGCGTTAACGGAATGCCGATGACGAAAAGCGCAAACAGGCCCAAGAAACTGAAGCCAAATAGATAGATAGATCCATTGACCCCATGGAGCGAGCCACTGGTGCTCCACTGTTCAGTGGAGCTGCGGCAAACAAAA